GTGTAGTGAATGGTGATTCAGGTGAGAAGTTTATAGACATGTCAGGGTGAGGGCTCGGCGTGGCATGGGCGGGATGGGAACTGGATACCCCCGGGGACTGTGTCGGGTCCGACTCTAACTACTCTAAGTGACAGATAGGAGAACAGGCACCTCTGTGACAAGGCGTTCTGTCAGAGGCAAAAACGTTCTATCGGCAAGATATTTCATTCCTCGTGTTTGTGTCTCTGCTTTTTAGTTTTAGTAAGAGGTTTACGGCACTTGCAATACGATAAGGTCATATTATAAATGCCGGATATTAGAGGTGTTACAAGAGAGTAACAAACACAAAAAAAGAAGGTTATGAGATCAGGACGATGTTTGATAGGAATGAAGGAGCGAACCACACCAGAGCACCCTCCAACCACCCACTGTTTCTGCCTTGTTTTGCTTTTGTGAGCAAAGAGACTGACATTGGCACGACAACGGCCATTTAGTGCAAGAGAAAATAGGACAGGTAGACGGAAACAACAGAGGGAAAGAAAAGAAGAAGGACCTACCACGACGACTTTCTCATTTGATAACCCCCAATTCGAATCATGATAGCGACGGAAATGATTCTTCTCTAAAACTTTCTCCTTTCACTTCCTTTCCTTCTCTTTAACAATGTTCTGTCTTCTGCTTTCGTCTTCACTTTCTGCCCCCACCCTTTCACTTTTTTGCCCCCTCCTCTGGGCTCCTGACTCTTTCTTCAGCCTATCTACTGCTTCTCCTTGGCTCCTTCTTACTGCTGCCTTTCAGCCACACCCCTAGACTTACTGTAGGTAAGATCTACACCTAGCCTTTACGGATAAGGGCTACAAACTCTCGGAGGTCCCGCGTGCATGTTGCGCACGTTAAAATTCCAATTGGTTGTCCAATATCGATAAGAGTAGGCTTCGGTTGCAACCCGGGAAAAATTCAAATTTCCTGCAAACTGAAAATGTTTGGTGTGTCCCGCGCGCTCGTAAGACCTTATGCAGTTGTGAGCGCCGTAAAACGCCTATTAAAAAAAAACCCGCCAAAACATTTACCTCTGGGTGGAAGATAAATTGAGAGGCCTGTTATGCAACAGCACCTTCCCTCTGTGGTGGGCAGAAAGGAGGGGGAGGGAGAGAGAGGAGAGGAGAGGAGAGGAGAGGAGAGGAGAGTTAGTGGGAGAGCTAGAGAGAGAAAGAGAGAGGAAGAGGAAAAGAGAGCGAGAGAGTGAGCAGGTAGGCAAGCAGACAGACAGACAGACAGACAGACAGACAGACAGACAGACAGACAGACAGACAGACAGACAGACAGACAGAAAGGGAGAAGAAAGAAGAAAGAAAGAATAATGGAAAGAGGTAGGGGGATTAGATAATGAGAGAGAAAAAGGTGGAGTGGGCGGGGGTCGGGTAGGAACAGAAAGAAAGTGGCAGGAAGAAGCAGAGACAAACAGACAGACATCTAATCCCCCTCCTAAAAAGACACAACCCCACCCCCCACCCCCCTTTTTTCCCACACACACACAAAATACCTCACACACGCAGTGTTATTCCAGCTTTCAAGTAACACTCACACATACACACACATACACACACACATACACACACACACACACACACACACACACACACACACACACACACACACACATTACATTTTCTCATACACACATGTATAATAGGATAATAAATATATACATACTATCTTTATGTATATCTTTACCTCTCTTCAATAAAATTTCCATTGGCATTTCTAAGTATCTACTTACAACAAATAAAGCACAAATATAAAACACATTGATTTGTTCAACAGGGCTTTCGCAACTACCAAAAGAGAAAATTTGATAATTTCTAAAACGGTACAAAAAATAATAATATTACCAGTCTTTGATATTCCATTATTTAATATTATATGCCGCATGCAATGTACCATTAGTAGCAGAGTTAAATCATAAAAGACGATTTGACTCAAAATAGGAGTGCTCGTCATCAGGTAATAATGAAAAATGTGGTAGTAATCTAAGTTAAATTTGTGGCTAAGATCGAGTTTTAAATTGAATCAGTTTAACAATGCTAAGTTTCCTCAAAATACGTTGAAAAAATGCTTTAAAATATAATAAAAAACCTAAAGCAATATGATTTTTAACTTCTATTTTCGAATCTTAGGTCAGCTAAGCAGATTATGGTAGGCGGTATTCTATTTCGAAAAACTCCACACAGCTATTTTCAAATGTAAATGTTTCTATTTATCTCTATGGCATGGTATCTTATGAAATTGAGCCGTTGTCTTTTGTTTAAGTATAATTACGTTAAGTCTTATTCGTAGATGCTATATTTTGCGATTTCCAAAAATACATGTATCTATAAGGAGGCTGCGAATCTAAGAATACGGGAAGTGTGTGTGTGGGGGGGGGGGGCGTTGGGAGGAGGAGTTGTGGTCTAAAGGTACCGTGTTCGCCTCTCCTGCAATGGATCAAGAGTTCGAACCCTGAAAACGACGAAAAGTTTTCTTCTGAAAAATGTACTCCTTTCACATCATTGCCTGTTCTCTAGTGATGTTCTGTCATCTACTTCCATCTCCATTTACTGACCCCTTTCTCTGCGCCCCTCTTTTCTTTACAAATAACAATTTTTACATGAACTGCTTCTTTTAACTCCTTCTTACTGCTGTCTTTCAGCCACACTCCTGATCTAAGGGTAGATAAGATCTAACTCCCAGCCTTCTCGGAAAAGGGTGGAACATTTCAGAGGTCCCGTGTGCAAGTTGCGCACCCTAAAGATTCCTTGGGTGTCCTAAAATCGACGAGAGTACGTGTCTGCCACCACCCGGGCAATAATCTAAATTAATTCCTACCAAAATTGAAAACACCTTAGTCAGTATAAAATTTTTTTTTATAGAGTCCTTTCGAAATCAGAATGTGGTTGTGTGACGGCATGGAGCCCTACTAAGTTGGAAATACAGTCACATACGTAAACATCAGTCACACTGCTGTTTGAACAACCAGCGGTCAACTGCCCCGAGATCTAGCAGGGGAGAAGAAGGGGAACCTCAAAAGATAAAAAGTTAACCCTTCCAGCCCCATGTGCGTATATTTTCAGCAACGGTTTTTTAAAAATAATTTACGTCCCACAGTCCCAAGAGCGTATATTCTCAGTTTCGGGGGTACCGAATTGTCGCATTTTTAGAAATTAGCTAACCTAATTAAACAGTAATTTTCATAATATTTATTCATCTTTAAACATTGTTATATGTCATCATCTAAATCTCATTATGAAGATACTCTATCACTTTTTTAAATGAATGCCTCTTTTTATGAAATACTGCTGAATTTGCTGGGTCTGGGGTTAGGGAGTGCACAAAAATGGCTGGAGCTGGAAGGGTTAAAATTGAATTTTCATATCTAAAAAAAAAAGGGAAAATAAGACGCTCAAAGCATTTTTATTGTCGTTGATGTTTTCATTATTTTGTTCGGATGTTTTTTGTTATTGCTTTTTTTTTGGGGGGAGGGGAGGTTGCTTTTCCTCATGACGCCAGGGTAGATAGATAAATAGACAGACAGACAGACAGACAGACAGACAGACAGATAGATAGATAGATAGATAGATAGATAGATA